AGTCGTGATCAACAACTGGATGTTTCTGCTTTTGGAAAAGATGAAGAAAGATGTCAACAGAAAGTAGTTGGAGGATGATTGTGCATCATGTTTTTTTAATGACTTAACGCATGAACAAACTTGTTCGCATGATTTTAATTGTATTTCTTATTTAATGGGAACACCACAATTGCAAAATTGTGTTTTATTTGACGTTAGCAAAATGCCAATAAAGTTTTGCAGGCATTTGTAATAGAAACACAGCTCCTGGCACAAAACACAAATAAGAAGACAACAGGAAGTAACTGGAGGATCATGGCTGGCATGTTTTTTAATGATTTATCACACTAACAAACTTATTCTCCGGTGATTTTAACTCGGTTCTTATTTAATGGAAACATAGCAATTGTGAATTTGTTTTTTTTTTTTTTTTTTTTTTTTTTACATTAGCAGAATATCAGCAGAGTTTTGCACAGATATAGTACCCATCACACTTATTGTCTCCCCTGGTTAAAATGTGGGGGAAAAAAACTAAGTTTTGTTGCAGTTGCATTATTTTTATGTCACCCTGATTATTTTTTCTTGAATAAATATGACAAATACATACATATAAATAATTATAAATAGTAAAAATATCACAAATAAATAAAACTGAAGCTTTTTTTTAATGTATTTTTACTTTTTTAAGGTAATCAGTGTTGAAAACTGACCAAAATGGGAAAGACAGGACAACATGTCAATCAGTTAAGGTGGATGTGCTGTATGTTCAGTCTACAAAGAATAGCTATTTGCCTAAACTTGCCCACATCTACTTTGGAGGTTTAAAATAACTTGAACTATGACAGGAGCAACAAAATTTTGCATTTTTATTTGCGAAGTTACGAGGATGATAAGAGAGATGAAAAATAAAATAAAATAAAAATAAAATCTATAAAAATCAAATCTATCTTCAGGTAAGCAAGTTTCCATAACAACTGCTATCTGCATGCAAGCTGGTGGTTTGGAGTTGTTGCCAGGGAAGTTATTTTTTTTCTATTCTTCCCTGAAAAATGTAAACATGTGGACTAACAGTGTGCTCTATGGTGAGATGAGACAAAGATTGAGCTCTTCAGCAACAAACACTCCCAGGGTCTGTGTTGAAAGAGCATAAATATATAAATATCTCCCGCCTACTGTTAAGTCAGGTGGATGCTGAGAGTTTGTTGCTTGTCCACAAACACTGTGTTAAATATCACAGATTGTTTTTTTGCTTTTGTTGTTTAAATTCCAGGACATTTTGTACAACAATATGCTATTCTCTGCCAGGAAACTAAAAAGCACTTTGATATGTGGTTTTGCAGCTGGATGTGAATTCAAAACATCAACCCAACCCAACTTTATTTATAGGCACTTTTACAATAGCAAGCAAGATACCAACACCATATAAAAGCATCCAACATAAAACAACCAAACAAAAGATGTTATACACAACGTGACAAATAAAGTGATCTCTCTCATGCTAGGTCAGATGACAGTGAAAAAAGATGGGTTTTCAGAAAACAATATATAAAAATATATATTTTTTAAAAGTTACAAAAAGAATCTTGTAGTGTAATCTTTGAAAAGTTTACCTGAGCTACTATTGCCATCTGAAGAAATGCACTGCTCCTGACCAAAAGCAACCAATCAGAGGCAGGAGGACGTGTCCTAGCGCTGTCAGTCACCTCATGCACTCGCTGCTAAATGTGCTAATGGCGGACAAACTTGTCTTTTTAATTCTGCTTTTGCTTGAATTAGTTTTGTGTATTTGTTATTTTGTTTCTTGAAAGGTGATAAATAAAGTTTTTGTTACTTACTTGCAGTTAAACGTTTCAGGAAAACTGTTTATCCGCCACCATCAGTGGCCATGCTAGCTAGAGTGAGCATTCACGATAGACTCTGCTATCAGAAAGAAGCTACTCCTAAGCAGAAAACAAGGTTGGATAGCAGGAGGGTGATTGACAGCGCTAAGACCCTCCTCCTGGCTTTGATTGGTTGTTTTTAGTCAGCGCTGGGAAAAGTCGAAGGAACTCTAATTTTTCACAGATTATTTGTCTCAGACCATATTGTCACGACATAATGACAGTTTCAACAAATATGTAAAAAAATATATATTTTTAAAAGTTACATACACCAGCTTTAAGGGATTTTTTTTTACCAATAGAAGTGAACAATGCTGTAATTAGTCATTAGACAATACTATGTTTACATTTTATTTCTCCTTTTCAAGATGGAGCTCAACAAACGATCTATGAGTACCATCGAGTTGAAATCGACATGACAAAGATTACCAATTCATCTGCTGTAGAGATCACACCACTCCCCAGTCAGTGAAATCTCTCATCGTTCACAAATGTTTCATATCTTAATATCAGCTTTAAAACAATGAAATCTCATTTCACTGTTTTTCTCTCTTTTTTTTTCCAGCTTGCCTCGTACATGACAGCTGTGAGCGCTGCCTCTCCTCCAACCAAACGTCTGGTTGCATTTGGTGTAACGTTCTCCAGAGGTGAGCAGCTAAACAGCTCAAATAAAAATGTCACTCTTTGTTTTATTCAAACATCGTGTTTCAGGTGTTCAGATGGAATGGACCGTCACAGGCAGGAATGGTTGGATTATTCTTGTTCGGAGGAGGTAGGACTGGGGCGCAGATGTTTGCTTTAATTTGACTGTGTTTTGAAGTGAAACAGAGTTTTATTGCTGTGTGTGTGTATGTGGACAGAGCAAAGACGCAACTTGTGATGATTACTTCAAGGAGGATGGTTTCACGGCTTCTTCTGTTGCACCAAAAACAGAGGACACAACACCTTTAATTCCAGAACAAAGAGAGTGTAAAAGAAGTAATCTTTCCCAGATGATTTTATTTGTTAAACATAATTACTTCAGAATTCTTGAACAGAACTAAAAAGCTAAACACACTAATTTCTTCCAGATGATGAGATTTTCATTACGGGCAGCGGTGAGTCACAAATAAAAGTTATTACTCACAAATCATTGTTTTGGATTTAAAAACACGGATGTTTATTTTGGTTTCAGATGTGAAAACAAAGTCTTCAACCAAAAGTAAAGAATTGTCTCACACTGGTATCATAGCGGGGATAGCGGCCGCTCTGGTCTTACTCTTGGCTTTGATACTTGTCGCCATTTGCATCCATTGCTATCCCACTGGCTTATCACCTCTCTACCTCATCCAGGTACGCCACAGACATAATAATAACAACAAAATCTAACATGCTTGTTGTGTTTATATCATATTTTCCATTAAATGTTGCCGAACAGAGACGCAAAAGCTACTGGCCATCCATGAAGTTCCAAAATCAGCGACCAGGATACACAGAAGTTGAGGGAGAAGGTCATGAAAAACACAGCATCGTCGAAGCTGGGCCATGCTGAAATGTGCAAATCTGTGCAACCATCTACGTTTTAAATTGAAGCACTGTAACTTCTTTTTCCACCCCCCAAAAAATATAAAAAATGTGTAATATTTTGGAACAGTATAGCTGAGTTTTACATATTTGGTGACAATTAGGCAGTATTTGCACACTGATCAATTTCACATGAAAGGTGTTCAAAAGTATGCATAGCTATGTCTCATAAAGAGTCTTATAAACTAAAGTGAGCGCTCCTTCATTGATCCAATAAAGAAATTGGAAAAAGGGAGTTTTAGTTTCTTGTGCTTTCGATTGAATTATTTTTTTTTTTTACTTTCACAAAAAATCCTGAGTATGTTGTACAGTGCAGTTTTGATTTGTTTTTATATTTTTGCAGATAAAGGTGAGAGAAGTGTGCTGTGCATTTGTAATTACCCTCATTTTATTCTGATTCCTCTATATAAAGTCCATTGAAACTAATTTAGAAGTCATTAAAACCAATAAAGAGAGTTCTCTTGTGTGTAATTTAATCTTAGGAGATGTTCTGTGAAGGTTAGTTAGGGTACATTACTCCAGGAAGACCGATGACGATTCTCGACGGGTCAGAAAAATGCTGGAAATAGTTTTCCAAATGATACACTGCAATAGCTGAATGAAATATGTTTTAATTTAAGATTGTGATAGAAAAGACCAGAGAAAAACAGTAAAAAAAAATTGGGTTTTGCTACATGTTATGCTAACTTTCTGTTCTGTTTGACATTGTCCTACTAGAACTGTTTCACAATAATATCATTTTATTATTTTTTTCTTCATCTTATTAAGTTGATTGGAAATGTCCAAATAATAAACAGTGACTTCCTGTTTCCCTGAGGTCTAAATATTATGTGACAGAGGCCTGCTTCAAAATGGGGAAAACACAAGAACATAGCATTCAAATAAGGAAAAGTGTTTTATCCTTCATATATCAAAAAAGTTGCTGCAAGAATTTGTAGTAATATTTAAATATTGTAAACACATCAAATCATTACATCTTTATCTTACAACCATGTGAACACAATGGTAAGAAAGAGTCTAAAGCTCACTGTTAAAAGAAATTCAGCTTTGAATTACATCATGTGGTCCCAGTGTCATTGAACTTACCTTTTAGTTTGCTAAAAGAGAACCATAGGTGCTGTTCTGCTGAATAAAGTGTTATAAACAGGTCCAAACTCCTTCAATAGAGTCCAAAGACTAACCATGCACGTTATGTTCATTTGATTTTCTACATTTTCCTGTGGTGTGATAATGACTGTCCATTGCATAGGAAATAGATGAATGGATGATATTGTTTGTTATAGCGTTTGCCAGCAGGTGTCGCCCTACGCAATCGTTTCACCTGGACATGAAGTAGGACATGCAGTGAACGTGGCAGATGAGTAAAATGTGATTTAGGAGCACTGAATTGGTGGAGCCCCAAAATCTGCAAGATGACTGCATTAGTTTGCTATGCAAGAACAGATGGAGCATGGATAGGACAAACAGGAGGTGCACGGGGCTCGATCAGACATCACTAAATACTGATTTGCAGACACATCTCTTACAGTATTTAGTGGATATTTTCAAATTATATATTTTCTCATTAAGTCATCTGACGAGTAATTATTCATTCAATGAAAATTTAGGTGGGAAAAAAGCCCAAATTGTAATTTTTCCCCCCCTTCTGTACACGGACACGCGCATTGTAAGGAAGGAGAGGAGGGCGTCGGGGGCGTGCTTTCCGTGTCTGGTTAATAGACTGACAGCCAGCTGTGCGGCTACAACAACAATCTCCTTCGCTACACACAACTAGATTCTGGTTTTGGTCAGCCGCCAATCGCAACCGACTTCTGTAGCTGGTGTTTTAAAGCGAACACTCGACAGCACGCTGCCACTTTTGTCCCGTATCATCGCCGGGTTGTCTGCTAACTAGCTAGAAGAGCGTTTCCTCCAACATGAATCCGATGTGTGGCAGATGTAATCAAGTCGTTTACCCCACGGAAAAAGTGAACTGTCTGGACAAGGTAAGAGCTCGAAATATCTCTGTCTTTCTTCTTTTTTTATTTTGGAACATGAAAGAAACCGGGTTGAGTTGTTTTGGACCCTATCTGGGGTTTTTTCTGCCTCGCTAAAAGCGAAAGCGTTCACATATTTCGGTGAATGAACTGAACTGAAGACAGAGGAACAGGTATGTCGACGTTAGCAAGCTAGCAGCTAGCCAGCGTCTGGCAATGCGGTGGCACCACAACGTGGTCGAAAAGGGAAATAGTGCCCATCCTGGTTAATAATGTGCTCCTTTTATGTTGTTTTTGTGTATTAATTTGGATTAAGGTGTTTATTCGCCCGCAAGCGAGGCTTCGATGTGCTCCCGACAACCGAGCCTTGTCTGGGCCCAAAACGACAAAACACACCACTGCTTTCAAACAGGGCGTATTTATTCATTATTTAGTACGTTTTTACCCTCACACATAAACCTCCTCAGGTGGAGGTATTTCCGTCAGGTTTCTGAACAATACAGCACTTTATCCACGACCGAACACGTTTATTTCCGTGTCCTGAACTCCTCCCAGGTAGCGCGGATTGTCTCAATTTCACCGGCTAATCTCAAATCGGGGATTATTTGACGAGTTTACTTGTTTGGATTCACCCAAAACACACCGCTAATCTCAGATCAGGGGGTAATCTCATCAATTTTACCCACCGTGACTCTCGAGGTCAGTCATTGGCAGTCGTGGCACAACTAAAGGAAGTGTTAATGGTGCAAGTCTTGTTCCTGTTTTGTCTCTTAACTCGTTGAAAAATATGGGTGCGCAAAAACATTTGGAAATTCAAGTTTGTTAAAGAGTTCTGCAACTATTTAACTGTACAAGACGCTGAACTTGCTCAAGCTCAGTCCCTACTGTACTCATCTGGGTGGGGTCTCTGCTTTGAATATGAATTACAACATCTCTCTTAGGGATTGGTGATTAGGACTTGAACTTTTCTTTTAGTCAAGATTCGTTCTTGTATTGTGAAAATGGGGTCTTAAAAACATATTTCTCTTAAAATAAAATAAGCTGCATCGGTTACATTTAGACATCCATCAGTCGGTTCTTATTGTTATTCCTTAAGTGATTAGACAATTATTAGCAAAACTACTAACAATCTCCACAATTTTAGGTTTGTTACAGATGATGAAACAAGTGAGATTTTAAAAAATAATAAATTTTTAATTGAATTCAAAACTATTCCCAAACGTTAAAGCATTTGCAGCAATTCTTGTTTTCTCTATTATGTGTTACAGTCTTAAAAGCAGAAATTGAATCGGTGGGTCAGACCTCAAGGAAAACTGTAATTTGTGGTCGGCCATTCAAAGCCTGATCAGCATAACTCAAGTTACATTCGGTGGAAGTATTCTGCTAAACGGGACATGATAATTGCAGTGATGTCGATCATTTCTTGACAGAATGATGCAGCTTTTTAAAAAAAAAAAAAAAAATTATTCATGGAACTGACGTTGGGTTTTGATAACATCACCAGCTAGTTTCTCGGTCTCATCACCTGATTAATTATAAATTACTTACAAAATTTCCGTTATCAGCCTTATTACATTCTCTGCTTAAAAAAAGGGTATTTTTTTCATGCTTAAATGTTTTAAATTAAACAAATTTCAATATCAGAGAACGGTAAGCTGAATAAATACAAAAAGCACATTTGAAATGATGACTTAAGCTCTGAAAACCAACGAGGTCCAATCTGAGTACTGTGCTTTTCCCCATTGTCCTGTTGTATTAACTCAAGATTAAGTTGTGTAGCTTCACCAACTGATAGCCAGACATTTTCCTTCCTGACTTTCTGGTAGAGGACAGAATCACTGGTTCCATTAATTATGAGAGTTGCCCAGCCCGTCACACCACCACCAAGTTTGACTCTGAGTATGATGATCTTTTTCTGAAAGGTCGTTTAATTTACACTAGCTGCAGCCTTCCAAAAATACCAAATTTAGTCTCGTCACTCCACAGAATATTTTCCATAAAGTTTCAGATGATCAATATGTTTACTGGTGGATGTAAGACGGGCCTTTGCAGTGGTTTTGGACCTGGAACGATCCAATGGCTGTTATTTTTATAATTGAATCATGTACACTGATCTTAACTGAGACTTTTGGGAGTCTAGATGTTGGTTGTTCTGGGTGAGTCTTCTTGTGGTTAACTGGGATCCAAAAACCTTAGAAATGGATTTGTAGTCATGACTAATGGAAGTCTTTGTTTCTCATCTGTTGATGAATTTCTTTAGTTTTAGCGTTATTTCTAATGAAAGGATTTTCTGATTGTACATGTCTGCCAGTAATCATGTCAGGGTCTGGCTTGTGAAATGGAACTTATCTTTCTGAAAATATGTGGTAAAACATAATTTTTATTTTAAAAATAAAGGAGAATATTATTTCACAGAAGTTTTTTTTTTTGTATTACTTCTCCTATTAAAGGACAGTATTATATTTTTTCCCAGGCATCAAGCACCATTTTATAGCACAATTAATCAAGAATCTATAACTTTCAGTTGTTATAAAAAATATATATGTATCAAATTTGACTTCATCCTTTAACCCATTGAAATTGGTTCCCTCTCTTTAAAAATCCCATCTCTTTCTGAAACTCCACCTTCAGTAAGTCATCACAACATGGCTCTGCTATTAAGCCATTAACAATGTTTTTACCAACTTTGCACTGAGAACTAGCTTTTGTGAGTTCAGCTGACTTGCAGTTCCAACAGGTGTTTGCTAATTGCTGCTGGCTAGTCTGAAGGAGCTGATTCGGGGGAAGGGCTACGTCTTGAAGGCGGAGCTAGGTCCACCCAGGTGTTTTTCACAGCTGGATGGTTGCTACAGAGATAAAAGTATTTCTCAAACATGCTTGAACCAAAGCAACACTCCAGGTGTTTTTGATGAAGAAATAACATAACAAAATTTAAAGCTCAAAAAAGTCTATTTTACATAATACTTCCTCCTTAGATAAAATCAAATTGGATATTATTTGTTCAGAACTGTTTAGGTGTGACAAATAAGTAGAAATAGGAGAAATGTGTTAGGTGGCAAGCATATTTTAGTCGACCAATTAGATATTTTGTGCAATGAATGCTTCAAAGTCTAGAGAAAATCAATCACTGTTGAGATGTACTTATCTGTCAGGATTGACAGATAAAAGAAGGTGGTGGAGAAAGCTCACAAAGCACTTTATCTAAAATAACATCATCCCCAGACTGGATGCGTCACTCTTCCGCAGAATGGACATGAATGGTATTTTCCCATTGTGCGTTCAACTGGAATTGATTTACCTCAGAAGCCCTCCATACCCGCAGCCGTCCTATATTACAGGGCGGATCAGACATCTCCACAGAAGTAATGTTGGTTTGTTACAAAGCTTGGATTGATAGAAATCAAATTGCCACAAGTGCAGCGTGAATGCGCTGTGGAATCCGCCCCGACGCAGAGTGCATTCCAGCAGACAGACACTCCCATGTAGCATGCACCGCTCCTGGCCTGCAGTGCCATCTTTCTGCTCTGACCCCAGCAAAGCAAGCTAGCTTTCCGTATGTTGACGTTTTCTGCCATTCTGTGTCAGACTCCCCACTTTTTTTTTTTTCTCAAAACTGCACACATTTGCATCTTTGTTTTAAAACAGTCAAGGCTGATCTGAGTATTTTTCCACCCGCTCAGGTGTACATGTGGAGTAGCTCAGTGTTCTTCCACTTGTGCTTTGGTTCTGACGACCATTTTCACCTTCTGTGGCAGGAGGTGAACAACCAGGCCTTTTGTCTGTGCTGGACTCCTCTGCTTACAGCAGGACTGGCCCGGTAGTAGCAGCATGTAAAGACAGGAAGTAAACTTTAGTCCGGGCTCTTCTTTACAACCGGTTCTCCATCTCATTTTGCTTTCATTTGGGGCTTAACATACCAGCTTGTTGCATAAAGTTATTAAGAACATATTTAGCTCATTTATCCAGAGCATGCCTGTCAGTTTTGTGGCTTTGTTTCACAAAAAGGCTTTGAAGTCCAGCCAATGAGATGTGTAACAAAGAAATTGCTGTGTGAGCAAAGTGATGTGTCCCAGTTTTCTACTTTTAAATAGATTTTTTAAAAATAAGAACATTAGTGCAAAGCTTTTCTTCCACTCTTAGTGTGTCTCCCGTTACTGCATATTGTCGTAGGTTTTGCTAAACAGGCCTGCAGGTTACACAACTCTGCTCCAAATCTTTTGCACGTTTTATTAATAGTCTAATTTGATATATAGGCCAGTAGGTGGTTACTCTCTTCTTGGACGGTTAACCTGCTGCTTTCAAAGGTCTATAAATGGTTTGTGAAACTGACTTGTGCTTTCCTTCCTCATGTGGATTTTCTCGCAACAGAGGTGTGCTGCTGTTTCTAGGCTTCTGGGTAGTTGCAACAGTTGAGAGATCTTATTTTCAGCACTGCTGATTGGCTTTTATGCAACCATTTATCACCTACTTTACAAGTTCAGATGGTCAACCAAAGCCTCAGGTTAGCCAAGTTTGGATTTGAATGTATTTTTTGCTACTTAAACAGAATTTTATTAGATTTTTTTTTACTTATTTTGATTGAGAGCTATTCAGTCTAGCACATAAACTAAACGATAATTTTGTCACCACACATAAGAAATATTTAAAATGCTGTTTGCTTATTTCTAAACCTTTAGGTAATGATTTCCCAATGCACTCTTCTGTTACCGTTTAGTTCCATCAGGCGTTAAACCTCACGCCTGAAACCTGACCTTAAACAATTTCATACTCTCGTTCTTAATCATTGCATATCATTTTAGTTTGCTTGGTAAGCAAGTATTTTTATGATTTATTGAGAATAAATGGCCACAAAATGCAGCACCTCTTTACCATTAAACATGAATTTGACATGAATACAAATATAAAAATAAATTTGATTTCCCTTTGGGTCAGCTCACTCTTCAAAAGAATGAGAGATTAGGACCCCTGATAAAACTAAAATAACTAATTGACCTCTTTGTTTTTTTTAA